CAGACAGACAGACAGACAGACAGACAGACAGACAGACAGACAGACAGACAGACAGGCGGCGTTGAGTCGCTGCCTAAACCTAACCGTGTATCCGACAAATTTGGCCAGACACTTTTTTCTGTTAAATTTAGTTTAGTAAGAGTTTTATGGCGTTTGCAACTGCATAAGGTCATATGAACGCGAGAGAAATGTCATTCTTTTCTTCATAATACATACATATGTATTATATCATCTTCCATATGTGCTTACTCAAAGTGTTTGTTTTTTTACCTATTATAATACATAATATGATTATGAGATTGTTTTTGTTGTGAAACAGATTAGAATAGAATAGAATAGAATAGAATAGAATAGAATAGAATAGAATAGAATAGAATAGAATAGAATAGAATAGAATAGAATCACAAATGATAATTGTTAAGGCGATGTGGATAACATTGAGATGAAAAAAGTGTGATCTAATTTGGCGGATACTGGGTTAGACTCGGACTCCGACGTGGAAATAATGAGATGGCTGACAAGATTACAGAAGAGGTGTTTCCTCTTGGTTGCTTATCGAAGTTTGCATCCAGAACCGTGTATAACACTAATATAAGACGTTTCGGCACGACGTGCGTTCGAGTCCCGCGTGTGAAGAATTTTTTTCTTTGTAATCTGAGTCTCTGTCTTTCTGCAGAGATGTATCCTACACAATCTGGGTTGGTACTGTGAGGTTGGAAAAGCAGGTCGACTTCTAAGTTATTCGCGAGGGTAGGCCAACCAATTTTGATCGCTTGAGGGCTAATAACTGTATTTCTGTTCAGTTGTTGGTAGATTATTGTTGTTAGATTTTCCATCCAACAAACATAAAATAAACTACCAATCAAACAAATATGAAGTTATGAGTCCACAAGCTTTTAAAATTGACACCCTTACAATTTCCAGTTGGTTACTATGCCCGTTTTTTCAGTGGAATCTTCAAATGTGACACCAGCATGTCTAATTTGTTCGTAAATCACAAGTAGGCTATCTTTAAACATCATTACACCTGTGTATAGATGCCATGACATCAATATTTTGTGACACCGTGGTAAAATCAGGCGCTCGTCAAAATAATGAATTAAAAAAAAAGCCTGCATTTTTCCACTGGTTATAATAATAATAATGATCATCATTATTATTATTATTACT